AAAAAAAAAAAAAAGAGGAGAGAAGAAAGTTCCCGGCAACACACAGTGCTCTCGGTCCACGTGAGCGTGCAACGAGGACACAACAACACATCCAAGACACAACTCCAATGTGGACCTTCTGTTCATACGCCCCATCCTCCCATTACTGTCACATTGCGCCGGTGGTTGGTCCGACATCAAACCGCAGGTCGCTAGGGCACGCCACGCTGCGTCAGCAACTCGATTCGCGTCACAGTATTGGCTCAGATGTTGCTGTTAAATCATCGGGTTGTAAGTGCTCATCCTCCGCAGCCGTGCACATGAGCGTTCGCGGAACGATGGGAGCACCACACAAGGCGTGTCGGGGAGAGGCATCAGTGGTGCAAGCGGCGCCCCAGCCCATATCCCAGTGTTTCAGCTCGGAGCGAAAGATGGAGTTCACTGATTTCTCGACACGCGCCAGTTCCGTCCCCCGCCACGCGGGGCTTTGAAACTCTGTCATCACGTGTGGGTGGAGCTGGGGGTCTCTTGCGGCGGAGCAGGGAGGAGAATGCACTCAGTGCAGGTCTGTGTTACGTTGTCCTCACGCGGTGTCGGTGTGATTCAACATGTTGTGCATCACCAGCAGCTTTCTTCCTCGTTGGATGTGAATGGGGGGAGGGGGGAGTGTAGATCCGACGGCCGTCAGACCCGAAAGGTGATATGTGTTGAATTAATCGTCATCAACCACGTCCGAACTTGTTTGGACCATCAACGAATGTCCATCACCGGCGCAAAGTCACGGCGTGCTCGACGAAGCCCCCACACGTCCCCGCTCAGAAGTCAAACAGACAAAGTGTACTTGTATCAGCATCACGGCTCAGCTGAAACACGGATTCCACAACTTCATCATCAGCGCACAGGACGGAAGGGGCGTGGCAGCAGCACAATAACAAAATAGACAAGAGAGGGGAGAGTAGCAGAGGGGCCTCGGACACAGGGTGCAACGCTGCTGGAATATTGTGCGGCACCCCATTCTGGTTTTGACACTTGTGTTCAATCCATCTTCGGGTGGATGTCATAAGACCGTCGTAAGTGGGCTATCGTCATCGACCTGTGCACTGGCGTGCCGCTGCGGCGGGGAGCTGCACCGCCGCGCAAAGCACTCAAACAGGGGGGAGGGGAGGGAAGGGAGGAGGTGGAGGAGGGATCCACCATGGCGCAGCAGAAACGCGCGTCGCGGTGTTGGGTGCCGTCAGCCGGGGAAAGAAGAGTATTCTCCAACACGATTGTTATCATTCAATTTGCCTCAGAGACTCCAGTCGGTTGTTGTCATCACATCGGCGGGCCACGTGTCTGTGTGGGTCGGCGTCATCGCGTCTCTCGGGGCGCACCAAGATGGTTCACGGCATGTGGTTGCGAAGGCCGCTCCAAGGCTAAAGCCCCTTCAANAAAAAAAAAAAGAGGAGAGAAGAAAGTTCCCGGCAACACACAGTGCTCTCGGTCCACGTGAGCGTGCAACGAGGACACAACAACACATCCAAGACACAACTCCAATGTGGACCTTCTGTTCATACGCCCCATCCTCCCATTACTGTCACATTGCGCCGGTGGTAGGTTTGTCACCAAAATTTGTATCTGGTCGTGTTCGTTTGTAGTAGGAGAGGATAATTTCTTTCTTCTTTTGTGCTATTGTCACGATTCTTATCGTCGATCGGTTGTATATCTATGAAGGTTTTCTGGACTATGTTGATCTGCTGGAACGCGTGAAGGGCAGAAGCGTTGAATGGGTTTCCTTTGCTGTGTACAGTAAAGATTTTTTATCGTTTAATGAACGGGGTACGAGATCCGCTGCACGTATTGTCGTTGAATGTGATGATCCATTTTACTTGATATCATTTTTGTTTTGCACGTCAGTTTATTCTTCTTTTTTGGATTTCCCATGTTCCTTACGGCAGTTTTTGTACCCTTTCTAAGCTGAAATCCACTGCTTTGTAGTGGTGTCGTTTCTCACGAGGAACTTGCGGGATAGTCGTTGTATCCGACATCCCCACGAGTGAAAAAATACTCGGGTCTAGGCGTGTTGAGTGGCAAGTTGCGAGCCACCCGCTCCACAAGATCCGGATTGGCAATAAACTTGACGCCGAAGGCAACAGCATCGATCTTCCCTTCCTGGATTTGCCCTTCTGCCTCTGGTAATTCGTAGCGGAGGTTCGATATCTTAATGCCTTTGTAACTGTCGTGAACCCATGAGACAACGTCGCCGTGTTGCTCGTTGAGCATGTCTGCACGGATGTAGTGGAGGTACGCGAGTGACAGTGGGTTGATTTTCTCACAGAGGTGCTTGGTGAGAGCTTCTGGGTTGGAGTCTTTGGTTCCTCCGGCACTCTGCAGAGGTGAGATACGCAATCCCACGCGGTCGCTCCCCACGGCATCACAGACGCTTTTTGTTACGTCGTAAATTAACTGGCAGCGTGAATCGATAGTGCTGCCAGCGTATGCACCGGACTCACGTGTGTTTACAGAGTCTCTTAAGAAACAGTCCAAGAGGTAACCATTCGCACCGTGTATTTCAACGCCGTCAAACCCCGCCTTGAAAACGGCATTTTTCGCAGCCTGCACGAAGTATGGAATAATCCACTCTTTAATCTCGGCATCTATGAGTTCTTCCGGTGTACCGTACGGTTCTTTCTGGCCACTTGGCGTGAAATCCGCGCGAATACTGTGGCCCGTGATGGGCAGGGCACTTGCAGAAAGCAATCGGCCTGCAAGCGGTTCGCTGTCGCTCTTGTTGTGTTTAAGGATCTTTTGTGGGAGCCCCGAGCGACCGGCGTGAATCAACTGCAGGAAGATATGCCCGCCTTTCTTGTGCACCGCGTCAACGATCTTTTTCCATTCAGAAATCTGCGCCTCGCTGTAAATACCCGGCTCCGAGAGAAACGAAGTGTAATGCGGCTGAACCATCGTCGCCTCGGCGATTATGAGGCCCGCAGACGCCCGATCCTGGTAATGCTTAAGCATCAGATCAGTCCTCGGAATGTGATGGTCCTCCGTCGCACGACAACGCGTCAAGGGGGCCATGATAATTCGGTTAGGAAGGGTGTAACGCCCTACCTTGACCGGCTGCAACAGACCTGGGTACACCGACATGCCGCAACGTAATTTATTATCTCGTCTACGATAGAGAGAGAGAGAGAGAGAGGGGGGGCACATGCTAACAATATCAACGGAAAACAAATGCAAGCAAATAAATATCAGCTTTAGTCCCGCACCCAGAAAGGGTTAGGCAGTCCTGCGGTCGGCAACGGGGGTACACAAACACCCCCATTGAGTTATCGATGCCCGCGTTCTCGAACATGCAGGAGAAAGACGATAGACATAAGAAGAGGTATTGTTGGCCTTCTTTCTAATTGACGCAAAGGCGTATGAAGGCTGGTGATGTAAAGAAGAACGTCGTTCTTCCTTCGCAAAGATTCCCCTTTTATGTTTTCTGCATCTCAAAAAAACTGCTCGCACATACACCGGACTGTAGTGCCAATGTGCAAATTAGCGTCAAATAATCCTCAAGGCAAGATCGAGCTATGGAGAAGTACAACTGCCCGACTATTAAACCAAGAGTCCTGCTGGGGGCATATATACTTTAACATATGGCTCGGCGCCATATATATGTATATGTATACATATATATATTCATATTTGCTGTTGTGATGTAGTTAGGCAGGACAGACGACACCTTTCTTTTTTTCTCACCTCTTCAGGCAGCAAAATCATGCAGCGTACTTAACTGGCCAGAAAAGAAATCCTCCCGCTGAGAGACCGTGAACCTCAACTCACCCTTCGATGAAGCACACAGGGTGATGTTATGCACCGATGCAGATGATATGTAAAGGCCGTGCTAATGGGCATACCAGCCCGCACGCCTCACCACACTAAATTCAAAGCCACTCTCCTCATTGGCAACAGTGTTGTCGAACGGAGCTAAAAGCTACGAATTGAGAAAAATAAAGTATTGGACTGCTTCCCCACGCACCTAAAAGCACCTGGAGAATATGCCCTTGCAAGCAGCGATGGCCACGGCAGCCGTGATTACATAACCTATTCACCCCCCCC